CAGATGGTACCCTCAAAACTTTTTTCAATATTATTTATTTATTTATCTTCTACAAGCAATTGTTTGAAACAGCACTAACATTCATAATAATATTTATTTCGGATCTAAATACACAATGTGGTAGCCAGTTTGCTAGACAAAACAGTTGTTCTTAGCTTGGGAAACTGGCCAATTTTTTTCCTATTAATCTACTGTGAAATAGAACCTCAGAATAATAGTGCAACAAGATATAAGAAGTTTAAAAGTGGTATCAATTTAATTAGGTTGAATTAAGTTTGTGTTAATTTTTTTTTATTTGTGTGTGTGTGTGTGTACACATAGGCACACACTATGAGTCATGGCTTTTGATTATTTTCTCACTCCTAATTATTAAGGACTTGTTTTTCCTATTTTCTTTATCAGACACTTAGAATCATACAGTTAGAAAGGGCCGTTTACATTATCATGTCTAGCTCCATGCTCAGTGCAGGAATTTAAATTAAGACATCCCTGACAGATGGCTGTCTAGCACCTGCTTGAACATATCCAAGAGCCCGCAAACACTCTTGGTAATTGATTCTAATGCTGAACTCCTCTTATGGTTAGGATTTTTTCTCTAACAGTCAGAATCTGTCTTCCTCTAAGTTAAATCCATTACTTTGTGTCCTTCACTCTGGAATGAAAATCATTGTGAATTGGACTGGAACAGAACCTTTGTTGGCTACTTTTCTTCTTAATACCACCTCTATCAAAATACAGAGTACCTTACTGGTTAGTCATTCTGGGACACCAAAGTGCCAGATTTAGATATGCCTTTTCCTCTTTGTCCTAACTTCTGTTCAGAGAAGTCTCTCCATATGCATATCTAACATATAGAGAGAAAAGAGTATTGCCCATCAATCATCCTCCACCACCCCATCCAAATATTCATGAAATGAGAAGAATATAGTTTCTTTCCCCCCCTCCCCAATAATTATGATTGACCAAGGAAAGGGGAGTCTTACATTTGCTGAGAAAAATACAGAATGCTGTGGGAACAGATGGAGATGCAGACAGCAAGCTTAGCTGCCACTGAAGAGAGATACTTGGGAGAGGTGCTCAGCTAGTGAAGATAACTCTTTTTGTAACACATAAACCTTTCTTTCTTTCCTCTCCTGTCAGCTTCCTCTTCCCTTGCCTTATCACTATCCAGTTTTGTCCCCCCGCCCTTTTGCTTTTTTTTAATGTTCCTAGTACAGCTATCCCTTCAAGTTACCCCTTTTGCATCATACTTTTCTTCCTTTTTTCCCCTTTTCTGGTGGAAGAAAGGAGGGATACATTTGTTGGCAAACATGTAGTATGTTTCTGTGTGTGAGAACAACTGTGTGAGAGAATGGTTAGTAATGGGCATATGAAGAGTCAATTATTTTTATAAACAAGGGATACCTTATTCTATTATTTTAATGGAATGAATAACTACCAATTAATTACTTTAATTGGTGTTATTCAGTTAATACAGGGGGTTTTTTGTCTGGCCTTTCCCTTTTTGAGAATGTATCTGAGATTCAGGTTTCATTCTTTTTCCCTCCTTCCCAGTGGATGGAAGGCAAATTGCAGCCAACATGCGGGGTATCGGCATGATGCCCAATGACATTCCTGAGTGGAAAAAACATGCTTTTGGAGGCAACAAGGCCTCTTATGGCAAAAAGACGCAGCTATCAATAATTGAGCAGCGAGAAAGTCTCCCAATTTTTCGTCTGAAAGATCAACTCATCCAGGTAAATCTTTAAGAAAATTAGTTGACTTGAATCATAGCAAGGGTCATTAAGTCCAACGTCTTGCCTGTCCTAGTCATCTGATCTGTACATATATTGAATTTTACTTGTTCTCTGAATCCTGCACTCAGAAGATTTGAAATCTGCATTTGTTGATGTAATTATGTAATATATTAATGTTTTCATTTATCCAAAATGTATTTAGCATGTGGTAGCACCTGGCTGATATTGTTTGGGTTGAGAAGCTAAGCAGGGTCATGCCTCACTGTTACATGAATGGAAGATCATTACAGAAAATCAGGGCTATAAACTAGACTAGGAAGTAAAAAAAAAATATTCTGGAAGAAGACAGTGGGAAAACATCTGTATTGTTTTCAAGAAAACTGCATTGATGTATCCATGATGGCATCAGAATGAAGCTTCACTCAAAGGAAACTTGACTTTTTATTTTATCTGTTAAATATTTTTTCTGCCTTTCTACCAAATACCCAGGATGACTTATCTGGAGACTAAATAGTGAGAAAAATAATGAGAACTATTCGATAAAGGGCTAAAAAAGTATATAAAATCAACTGACAGGAGGCTGTTATATGTTGTTCAAATGCCCAATAACTGAATAGTAGTTCCAGTCTACAACCAAGTAAAAGAGTTGCAAACTGTGTCCCTCCTGACATTTCTTAACTGGAATTCCCAGTTGCTTTAATCATAATCTTTAATGGTAGAAAAAATGCTGGAAGTTGTATTTCAGTAACAGTTGGAAACCTTCAGGTTTCCCCACCCTGTGGTAAAGTTTGTCTAAAACCTCAACTTATTGTACAGGGGATTTGATAATTGAAAACTTTGCCCAGACTTGCTTAAAAGTGCTGTATTTTTCAGTGTGTAGTCAATCCATTTCTCTCCCCCTCATCCCCCTAACAATAAGAACCATATGCTTTTTTAAACAAGATTTTGGATTTGTAAGATTAATAAACGAATTCCTGTTTTTGATCTGACACACTAATACATACACATCTACTTGTTGTCTCCTTGTTTCCTTTCTGCACTGTGATCACTATTAATTTGACTTAAAAGCAAACAACACAAAATCAGACTCCTCTGGAACACCCCATTCTCTTTTGTATGAGTCTGTTTCAATGCCTCCCCCTACTTTTTCCAGGCAGTCCATGATAACCAGATTCTGATTGTCATTGGGGAGACTGGCTCTGGGAAAACTACACAGATCACACAGTACCTTGCTGAAGCTGGCTACACCTCCCGTGGAAAGATTGGCTGCACTCAGCCTCGTCGAGTGGCTGCCATGTCTGTTGCTAAGAGGGTTTCAGAAGAATTTGGTTGTTGTCTAGGACAAGAGGTAAGATGTATGCTGGTGTTTGTGAATGAATCCTGCAGTGTACTGGAAGAGGAAGGAATATGACATGA